GGAGTGCGGGGGGGAGCCGCTGGACCGGGAGTCGCTGCTGTTGACACTGTTCAGGCTGCTGTAGGGACAAGCAGATGGGCAGCAGGCATGGCAGGCAGGGAAGGTGGTGGGCAGAGGAGGGCAGGAAACAGAACAGGGGCGGAGGAAAGAGCAGACATACTGTAATCAGCTCTCTGTCCCAGAGGAGCGGCACAAACCATCCAACATATCTTGAAAATACTCAAATCATTAAGCTAGAAAATAAAAGAGGCCAAAACAGAACTGAGACTCAGGTCTCTGATGGCACATGGCAGTCTTAGGATGGAGGTCTGTGTTTCTAAAAAGCTGAGTGTGAGACTAGCAGATGGCATAATGGTTGCATTGCTGAACTCCCACATAGTGGACCACAGTTCGAGTCTCAGACCTGGTGGCTTAAAACCCAAGCCAGACACGTGTGCATGCGTGCTCAAGATCCAAAGAGGAGAGGAGAGGAGAAGCGACTGTGTTGTGGCCATCCCCTGTGTGTGTGTGTGTGTGTGGGGGGGGGGGGTGTTGTGTTTGATTTCTCACTCTCTGTCTCTCTGGTGAGGGCATTCGCGCTATAGCAAAAATATCTCTCTTTAAAAAAAAAATTGAGTGCTACCCAACTCAGCTATGTCATCAACCACCAAAGCTGGGTGACCACTGTCAGTGCCATAAAAAGAGCTAGAGCTCAACGTATCAGCTCATTTGCTTGTAGAAACCATGACTTGGAACAAAATCCACCAAGGCTGTAGCATGTGCTGATGGGAATGTCCTGAGATGGGACCATCTGGGTCCAGGTGACCAAGATCAACCAGGTGACCAAGCAACCTCACTGATGGACTTCCCAAGGTCCTTTCATCCTCAGTGAGCCTGGTCAAGACCAAGGTAAAATATTGGGTCATCCGGAAAGTCATGATGTGTTTTTTCTTAAGAATTATTTTTATGGGAACCAGCAGTTAGCGTAATGGCTATGTCGCTGGACTCCGACGTAGTCGACCGTGGTTCGTGTCCCGGACCCAGTGGCTTAAAACTCACGCCGGGGGTGTGCGTGCGTGCCCAAGATCCCGAGAGGAGAATGGAGGAGAAGGGATTGCGGCGTGACCATCCCCCCTGGGGGGTGATTTCTCGCTTTCTGTCTCTATGTCTCTCTCTGTCTGTCTGGCGAGCGCATGCGCCCTACAGTGAAAATCTCTCAAAAAAAAAAAAAGAATTATTTTCATTTAACTTTATTTATTTATTTATTTATTTATTTATTTATTTAAATTCGATCAGAGAGAGACAGTGAGAGAGAGAGAAAGTGAGAAAACAAGCTGCCAGTCTGGGACTTGAACCATAGTCAGCCATGTGGGAGTCCAGCACCGTTAACCACCACGCCACCAGCCAGTCCCAAGTCATGATGCATTTTTGCATAGAAAAACACACCATGACTTTTCCAACAATTTAATACATTAGCCAATCAACTCAGTATGCTTGTGTGCATGTGTTTTACCTTCAATTAACCAAGCTGATGCTTTAATTAATGGTTTTATCTTGATCTCAGATGTCTTTCAGTTAAAAAGCCTGTAGGCCTGGCATAACAGCACACCTGGCAAAAGGCAAGCAGCTAGCAGTGCGTGAAGGCAATCAGTGCTAAGCTGTTTGCTTCCCAGGTAGAACAGTAAACAGGATGTTGAAAAAGGACACACGCCCTCTGGCTGTTCTGTCTGCATTCCACTTCTAGTTGTATGAAATGAGCTCTATACATAGAACAGTAACTCAGGTTAGGAAAAACAAAATTGAATGAGCACTGCTGACACAGCAAGGCACTTGTAGAAATATCTGACAGGACGAAAGAAGCAACCCAGCCCAGATGAGAAACTTTGTTGTTTCTGCTCCCACCCTGCAAGGAGATTCTGTTTTGCAAATTCTGGTAGCTAATAAGATAGTCACCAGGGGCCAGCAGGTGGCTTGGTGGTTAAGGCACTGGATTTCCAGATAGCCAATCCCTGGATGCCAGGGCTTTAAAATCACACCAGGCATGTGTGCATGAATGCCCGGGACCCCAGGAGGAGAATGGAGGAGAAGCGACTGCTGCATGGCTATCCTCCCAGGGAGTGATTTCCCTCTCTCTCTCTCTCTCTGGCAAGTGCACATACCATTTAGTAAAAAAAATGAAAATAAAAAACGTAATCTCATGAGATGGAAAATCCTATGCCAACTCCATATTGGGGCAGCCCCGTCCTTCAGGGCAGCCATGCAGTTTGAGTGCTGAACCTAGTGGCATGAGAAGCATGCCTGGTACAACAAGGGAGAGATGGAGGAGAAGAGCTTTCGGTGTGACCATTCCTTGTGGGTGGTGCTTTCTTCTCTCCCTCTCTCTGTCTCTGGTAAGTGCGCACACTCTCTAACAACAAAACAAAATTTAATGGGCAATCCCTACAGCATGCAACTGAAAGCAAGCTCGTATACACCCACTAGTCAAGGCGCTAAGTGGAGTTTTGTTTCTGACCCACAATGAATGCAAAGACTGAAGAGTGACACCAAAATCATCACAGTGCTCTATCTCCTGATTTCCTGTATAAAATGAGCCATGCCCAGAGAGTAGCTCTCCTGCGAACATTAGTACAAAGAGAGACAAGTCTTGAAAGCAAGACTGGTCCACAGCCTCACTTACCTGCAGACACTCGACTTCCTGGACATGGTGGTGCTGGGGGAAGAGGGTGGCGTCTGGTAAGACCAACTGTAATCAGAACCTTTCAAGTCCAAGATCACCTAAGGGGACAGAGCCGGCTGGGTAAGCGAGGTGCAGGGAAGGGAAACTAGCCATCAAGTCCTAACGCCCACCATAACATCAAAATGCTGCCACCGTGGTGGGGTTAGGGTGGGGGAATTTGAGGGGGAAAAAAAAGTTAAGTTTTCATTTTGTTTTGGTAATTAAAGAGCCACACTACCAATCCATCAATATCATACTCCTTTTTCTTTAGAACCATGAAACAGTCAAGAGAAAGACAGCGACTGAGATTTACAGTAACGATTAACAATTCATAAGGGCCCTTTACACTTAGGGCTAGAATTCAGAGGATTTACATCTTATAGCACTCGAAAGGCAGTAATGGTTTCAGGAATGATAGATCTTAAATTTTAACCACCTAATACTCATAGTCCCATGTGCCCTATTTGATCAGGACTAGAAATTCAAAAACCCGATAGAATCATGGGCAAGCCAATTCTTTCACAATTATGTCTTCATTTGTCTCCCTTGACAAAGAACCACTTGCGTGTAAGGGCCACTTTTCACTCACATTCAAATGGTGCTCAATAAATCTCTTCACAGAGCAAACTCACATATGCTGTGGTCTAGTTAAAAACAATTTCATGGCCTCGAAAGCACAAGCTCCCCAATGCGTCTTCTGAGCTGACTCTCCAAGGAGGCAGTAAGAATTGCAGCCAAAGGGCAAGAGCCAACATGTGACTCATCAGCCGGTCCCTCAAATATAGTTCTTTTCATTTGGGAGTATTAATGGCCCACGAACCAAATGAATAAAACATAAAAAAAGTCATCTTTTTCATAAGACAAAAGAGATTGCCAAGCATTACTTAATTAGAATGGAGAAATGGACAGTGGTTAACAATGACCACCCAAACCCACCACCGTCAGGTTTCTGGGAGAGATCGTCTCTAGAGGGTGGCTGAAGGCCATGGTTTACGAGCCTGCGCTCTAGAACTCGCCGGCTTGGTTCCATCACATACTCGGTAGGTGAACCTGGTTATGCAACTTCGTCTCTCTGTCTCAGCGCCCTCCTCTGTAAGATGGGCCTACCAGTGAGGACGAACTCAGGATGACCAATAGCAATGAGCTTGAAACAGTGCCTGATATACCATATAAACACAGCAGACTGGCTAGGAATGATGATTACCCTGGATTACCATGCCTAGGACATGATGAAAGAGGGATGTTAAGGCAAAAAATCTCTCAAAAAAAAAAAAAAAAAAAAAAGACATGTCAGTGTGCGCCAACTGAAAACACAAACTAAAAATATTGGGTCGTAGGAAACGTCATGATGCATTTTTTGCACAGAAAAATAAGTCATGACTTGCGACGACCCAGTGATTTAGATTACAATTTACTACATTAACAGGAATAAGGGTGCCATGGAGCATGACTGGTTGTCTAAATCGGGACTGACCTTCTACCCATCACAGAATGAAATGTTAAGAAAAGTACCAGCATTTTATTGATAAGTTCACAAAGCAAACTAAGAAAGCATTTTGTTTTTAAAGAAGTATTGTTCTTTCTAGTCTATTTCATTTCTTTATGAAATAAAATGATTTTTTTGAACATTAAAAACAAAAAAAGAGGGATGTGATCTAAGATGTGAGAAATGCCACTAGGAACGTTTTTCTCCTTGGTATGTTCCCCCGAGTGTGTGACCCACAATTCCTACCTGTTCGCTTGAGGAGGGCAGCTTGTGAGGGTCCATGGTCAGGCTTTTCAGGTCCTCTGATATGGTCTGAAGGTGGGTGATTTCCCCCAGCATTGAGATTTCTTCTTCCTAAAGGGAAGTGATTCAGACCATGATGGAGTGACTTAGTCCAGCTGGTTTTATTAGGGTCACTGTGTAGCCTTTCAGCTTTTCAGAAAAGGTGCCACGGGACTGGTAAATCTTCACTGAAAGCACTACACCCCTTTTCTTTTGGGAAATGGTAAAGAAAAAGACATCTGCCATGACCGTGGAGAGGCCTGTGTGCTGGGCAGTGTGAGCAAACACGTGGGCCTTCCATGCAGTGGAAGGAGGACGTCTACGCCTGCTGAGACTGTTCTAAAGGTCGCACAGCACAGCCCCTCCCACAGGCTGAGGCCTCCTCTGAAGGTGCTTCGCTTCAATAGCTGACACCATTTGGAGATATTTTGGTTCAGATCTTTATCACAGTCTGTGTGTGTGTTTTTTTTTTTTTTTTTTGGAGAGATTTTCACCGTAGGGCGCGTGCGCTCGCCAGACAGACAGAAAGAGACATAGAAACAGAAAGTGAGAAATCACCCCCCAGGGGGGATGGTCACGCCGCAATCCCTTCTCCTCCAGTCTCCTCTCGGGATCTTGGGCACGCACGCACACGCGCCCGGCATGAGTTTTAAGCCACCGGGTCTGGGACACGAACTGCGGTCGACTACGTGGGAGTCCAGCGACATAGCCATTACGCTAACTGCTGGTTCCCTCTGTGTGTGTTCAATAGAGGTTAACCATCCTCCTCCTACCTTCTTGTTTTGTTTTATCTCAGTCCCTCCCCCGCCCCCCCCACCACCACCAACTTAACAGACTGCAGCAGGGGCCTATGGAGGCAGTATCCCATTCACTTTACCAAAGTGCCAAGCTGGACCTGGGGGCCAGGCAAGCAGGACCCACAGAAATGTTCTACACTCGGAGAAACAACTCAGATACAGGCATTTTGCTAGGGCTGAGGGAAGTGAGCTGGTCCTTCTTACCGGCTTCAAGATGCCAGTAGCAGACGTTCTCCATTACGGCACACAAACTTACTTAAAAATTAAGTCTGGGGCTGGTCTTGCAACTTTGTGGATGAGGGAGCCAGATCCTCCATGGCCAACTACATCTCAAATCCTGGAGCTAGCAACTTGAAAAACATGCCAGGCGCATGTGCATGTGTGTTCCAAGCCCCATAGGGCTGGAGAAATGAGGGAGAAGGGGACTGTGGCATGACCATGCCCCTTTGGAGGGGCCTTTCTCTCTCTGTTGCTCTCTGGCAAATACATATGCCCTCTGAGAATTAATTAAAAACAAAATTAGGTCTGAATTAGTTCACTGAGACTGCTCTTATATTAATCTCATTACTTGGTGAAGTTCAGCTTAGCCAGTGAGTCTCAAATAACCTGAAGGGCTTATTTAAAACACAGATGGGGGACCAGTGGACAGTATAATGGTTATATTGCTGGGCTCCCACGTATTCGACCATGATTCGAGTCCTGGACCTGACAGCTTGAAGCACATGCTGAGTGCATGTACATGCATGCCCAAAACCCCAGAAGGAGAATGGAGAAGGGACAGTGGCATGGCCATTCTCACGGGGGGTGGTTTCTTGCTTTTTGTCTCTCCCTGTTTTTCCAATAAGCACACACACCCTAAAGCAAAAATCTCTCTTTAACACCAAACACATACACACACACACACAAACACACACAGATGAATAAGTTCCCAACTCAAGAGTTTTGGATTCAGTAAGTCTGGGATGGGCTGGAAAATTGCCATTTTTTTTTTAAAGAGAGATTTTTGCCATAAGGCATGTGTGCTTGCCAGAGAGACAGAAAGCAAGAAATCACCTCCCAGGGGAGATGGCCACACAATAGTCCCTTCTCTTCTCCCCTTGGGATTTTGGGCACACATGCACACACACATGCCCAGTGTGAGATTCAAGACATCAGGTTTGGGACTCGAACCACAGTCAATTATGTGAGAGTCCAGTAACATAACCATTACACTATCTGCTGGTCCTGAGAATTTGCATTTCTAATTAATTCCCAGCTGTTGCCGCGGATTTGGGCACCCACTTTGAGAACCACTCTGCTAGGCCTTCTTGACTAGGAGAGAAAGTAAAGTGGAACAGCCGGTGCTGAGAACTGTGAGCAAAGAGGGGGGCCAGCAGCACCTCGCAGACAAGCAAGCTCTGGTCTGTGGAAGTGATTTCTGACCGGCAGTAAGTTCTCGATGACTCAATGATAGATGGACAAAGAGGCCAGCAGTTGATGCCTTCTGGAGCCTTCCAGTGACTTACAATCACAGGCCGCAGCATGGAGATGAAGGTGCAGAATCGGCCACGTTCCTCGATCAGGGCCTTGCGGACTGCCTGCTTTTCTGTTTCTTCTAACAGGAGATACTTATCGTTGACGTCTTGGAGAGCACTGTCCAACTGAGGCTGGATGTCACCTCTCCCTGCAAACAAAACACAGCCCGAAGCGCGGCTTGCTGAAACTCCAGTTGCTGGAACAAATGCCCCTCCACCCTGGGGTCTTTGCTGCAGTCAAAACCACGGTTTTTCAGGACTTAAAGTGTTTGTACCGAAAAAGGATATAAGGTGAGTATTTTTGTAGGTCTGGCTGCTTCTAATTTCTAACACCCAAAGGGCACATTTATCCTGGCTTATTCATGACAAGGAAAATGTCCGGGTGTCACAACTTGCCTTCTTGCCTTGTGCAACCCCACAGAGCTTTCTGCCCGCAGAACCTGGGACGCACAGCCAGTCTTATTTTGTTTTAGAACATTTGGAAGAGACTAAGGGATGGCAGAACAAGATGAGGGCCTGTGGATTTTTCCCAAAATGGGCACAGACCGGCTTTTGTGGGTCAACTTCAGTCAAAGAGCCTGTGTTTGGGTAGAAGCTTCTGTTCCTGAAGACAAAGGTTGCAAGTGTCCACTCTACTGGCTCTGGGCGCCCTTAGGAATCCTTGGCAGTTAAAGTCCCTAGTGGAAAGTCCTGAATACTCTTCCCGTAAAACAAGTAACAAAATGACCTACAGTCAAGTCTCTGCTGGAGAAAAACTGAAGGTGAAATCTACTAAGACTGGCCCATGTTCTGGAATCATCTGGCCATGTCCACAGGTCCCAGTTACAGAGGCCACCATTTCCAGAGTTCAAGGCAGAGTGTTAACCTATCTTTTAGAGAGAGATTTTTTTGGCTATAGGCTGTGTGTGCTCAATGGAGACAGAGAGAGAGATAGAGAGACAGAAAGCAAGAAATCATCCCCCAGGAGGGATGGCCAAGCCGCAATTCCTTCTCCTACTTGTCTTCTATTCTCCTCTAGGGATTTTAGACACGCATGCACATGTGTCTGGCATGAGTCTGAAGCTGCTGGGTCCACAACTCGAACTGCAGTCAACTACATGGAAGTTCAGCAACGTAACTTACACCATCTGCTGGTCCCGAGGGTGTTAACCTTTTAAGCCAGTCCAGAGCATGCTCAGTAAGCTGTCTTTGTGAATAAAGTACCATTAGAACACAGCCATGTCCATTCATTTCCATAATGCCTGCACCTGCTCTGGCTGTAATGGCAGAGTGGCATGACAAAGACAGCAAGACTCTGAGAACAAGAACATCTGGCCCTTCGCACAAGTTTGCTGCACTAGTAATACACACGTGTGTATCTGTGTCTGAGAGCAGCAACTGCCAGTCTGACCTGTAGGTGGGGATGGTAGGGTGATCTCATGAGCTTTCACACTGGGCTTCCCAGGCGTGGGCTTCACCTTGTACCCAGACCAGAGAAAGAATTTCTACACTCCTGGGCAGGGTTTTGACCTTTCTTGACAAAGCCCTCGGTGAGATGCCAAATATATACACAGCTGTGCTCAATAAATATCTACTTAGTAGTGTTCATGTTTGTGCTAGACGGGGCCTTAGGGGTGGTCCAAGCCAACCTTCTCTTGTTTCAGTGGAGGTCAAGGCCTAGAGAGATTGAGAGACTTGTCCAAGGTCACAGAGAGAAAAGCACCAGCTAGGACAGAGACCACATAGCCCGACTCCCTGAACAGTGAATCTGGTTCCCGCGCCCCACTGCCTCAAGTCGAATAAACAGATTCCATCATGTCTCTTAGGAAGGGGCTGATCAGTTACCATCTACCTCTCTGATGAATGACATCGAGGACATGAAATGTAATGCATTTCACGGATCAAGAAGGAAATGCTCAGGGAAAATTGCTTTGGATGTAGAAATATACTCCATATTTTCTCTCAAAAGCAGATGACAAAGATTAATTTGGAGCAAGAGGTGATCAGGGTTAAAGAACCTCCCAATAGAAAAGGTTGTCAGATTTTAGCAAGGAAAAGTCACTCCTTGGGCAGGAAGTAAGTTCAAAGTTAGCACATAATGGGAAACCTGTATGTAGTCAAAGAACACCCTTGCAATGCCTCGGATGAGCAGTGAACACAGTAGGTATCACACGCACAATTTTGGGTATCTAACGCCTGCTCGTCGAGAGAGTGCAAATATAAGATGCGTACAGTAAGTAGTCACTGAGTCCATAGAGGACTTTATCCAACCACATCGTAAGAATGGCAGCTTGAGAAGTTTTAGCATATTTTCAAGGTGATCCGTGCACCCATTTTTCCATTTAGTTATCATCTATCCCTCAGGGTAATTCTCTACTGTCCATTCAGTTCCTTCCTTGAGGACATAGGAACTGTCCCACAAATTAACCTGGCCACCCCCCTCCCCCAGGGCCATTGGTTCTGTGTGTTCTGAGGGGACAGAACAGTGAAAGCTCTCCCCCATTCAACCTGGGGCTCTCCAGTGACGGGCACTAACTCTCAAGGACACCTAACCCCTGCGGCCCCTCACAGAGGGAAGGTGGGGCATCTCCAGCACAGAGAAATTATGGGTCTTCTCTTCTATTTTTAAAACTCTAGCTTCTTCATTTGTATCAGCCTATGCATAAGGTGTACATGATTCAAGCCAATGGGAAGGAACCTCCGAAATGCTGCAAACGCTCGCATTTTCTATGCAACCTATGAAACAGCGTGGCCTTGCTGGGTTAGGCCGTGTGGCTTAGGTCTGGTGACCTCCTTTAAGCCTTTCGACCTCTTCTATGATGTTCTAATAGCAAAACGGGAGGGCTGCAGACTGAGTCGGAACGTTCTTCACTTTGGTGAAGGAGGGTGGAAAGGAGTTGGGGTAGAAAATAGATTAAAATTCATGCTCTTAATCCAAACTAAAACTTGTGTCAAAATCAGAGCTTGGATGTGCTCTGAGTACAGCAGTGATTTTAAAAAAAATAACAGTCTATGATTAGAAGTTGAGAAAATTTGTATCTTCCTTTCACAAGTTATAAGGCACATGTCTATCTGAATTAATAACACTGACTTTAAGAAATATATCCAGGAAAGAAAAAAGGGAAGAGAATAAAATATTATTTAATTTGGTAAGTATAACTTTAAATGATTACAGCAAAGTTATTTAAAATATGTATTATGTTATAATTAAAGGACTTTCAAATTGTAGTATTCTAAAATAAGTATAATCTGTAAAGATTGCTCTAATTACAGTGAGAACAATTCCATTCAGGATATATCATAACCTAAAAGCACGATGTTTATTTCTTAAATTTAGTAATACAATATGTAATTACTGAAAAAAACATTGTGAGCCAGCCATGGTGGCTCAGGCAACAGGATGCTGTGTGGATAGTGAAGCCACATGGAAGGCCCGGGTTCAGATCTCTGGGTGACCTGAACACACTAGCTGTGCCTGCATGGCCTATGGTCCTGGCTGGCTGGGAGGCAGGCAGGGATGACTGTGGCATGGAGAGACCCTGTCAAGGGTACCTTTCTCTCTCATGAAAGAAAATCAACAAACTTAAAAATAAAAATCTGGGCTGGCTCCATGGCACAGCAGTAATTTCTTTCTTTTTTTTTTTTTTTTTTGGAGGTTTTTTTGTTTGTTTTTGCTATAGGGCGTATGCACTTGCCAGAGAGAGACACAGAAAGTGAGAAATCACCCTCAGGGGGGATGGCCACACCACAATCCCTTCTCCTCCATCCTCCTCTCGGGATCTTGGGCACACATGCACATGACCCCAGCATGAGTTTAAGCCACCAGGTCAGGGACTCGAACCACGGCTGACTACGTGGGAGTCCAGCAACACAGCCATTACGCCAACTGCCAGTCCCATCACAGCAGTAATGTACAATTCAAAGAGAAGCCAGATCCTATAGGGTGAGCACAGTTCAGCTCCCCAGCCAGGTCAGCCCGAAACACCCAGCACATTCACGAGTGTCCACAATCTAACGGGCTGGAAGACTAGAAGAAGGGGGTCACAGCACGACCAGACCCTATGGACAGTGCTCCTCTCACTCTTTCACTGTTATGTGCACACACGTGCTGAATTATGAATTTTTTAAAAAGTGAGGAGATGCCATTTAAAAAAAAAAGCCATGGAAAAAATTATTTCATGTCCCAGTTGAAGGTTTAAGGCCCACAAACACAGAGTTGTGTTAGCACTGATTAACATATACCAAGCTCATCCAAATCACTCCCATCGGTCAGCTCTGTTAGGAAATTCGTCACTGACCCCTTAAGTACAGGTCCTGGCCATTCTAACTCCCACACAGACTTGACTCCATCCTTTAGTTTCACCTGTGCTACCTCCGTTCTCATTGGGCCTTCTGGATCTCTCATTTGGACAACTTCAACATCCCACCCAAGTGCAAATAGACAAGCTCACCCTGAGTGGCCCCAATTACTTTAAAAATGCAACCTTCATCATTCTTTTTCTTTTATTTTACAGCTATGTGTACACACACACATGCACATAGAGTTTTTACTTTTTTTAAGAGATTTTTGCTGTCTCTCTGTTTCTGGAGAGACAGAAAGTGAGAAATCACTCCCCGGCCCCAAAAGGGGGGTAGATGACCACACCACTCTTCTCTTGGGATTTTGGGCATGCATGCACATGCTCCTAGCGTGATTTTCAAACCTCTGTGTCTGGGACTCGAACCACAGTCGACCATGTGGGAGTCTACCAATGTAACCATTATACCATCTGCTGGTCCCACACATACAGTTTTTTTCACTGCCAAAGAGCACACATGCTTGCGAGAGCAGAGAAAGGGGTAAAGTATTCCTAATGGGGCATGGTCATGCTGCAACCTTTTCTCCATCCCATCAGGATTTTTGGGCATGAATGCACCCACACCCGGTGTGTCTTCCAAGCCTCTAAGACTGGGACTCAAACCGCAGTTGGCCATGTGGGGATCTGGTGTCCTCATCCAGCAGGCTCCTGAGCCAGCCCATTATTACTCCTTTTGAATAGCTCCTGTTGCACTCATGAGAAGTCCAATGTCTGTAGCATGGCCTACTTTGAAAGGCACATGAGGGTCACTGCTGGTCTACCTTGTAATCTCTGTCTTCTTGGGGACTGTCCTCTTTTGCCTTTCTTTCTTT